ATTATTATATATATATATATATATATATATATATATATAACAAAAGACATATGCGTCTCATTTTTAGCATCTTTTCATTGTTTGGCAATTGTTTTTTTTTTTTTTGTTTTTCCCCCAAAAATGTTCACTACAAATTCTCTTATATTATAATCCTTAATGTGCTTTTAAAAACATATTCGAGTATATACAAATTATATATACGTAATGCGTATCAGAACATTTTGGTATCGATATTCATATGAACACGGTTTTGTGATACCAATCTATTATTAGTTACGTACACATGGAAAATACTCTGTAAATCCAGTCAAATAACCATTCGTCGATTTCTGCATTGTTGAAAACGCATCATATATATATATATATATTTCAAAAAATTTCTTATTTATCCTTGTCCTCCTCCCTTCATTCTGTTCTGAATCAAGAATTCGTTGAAACGGTTGAACGACCAAAAAAAAAAAAAAATTCAATGACAAAAATGAATCATAAGTTAATGGATCTTGGTATTGAAAGCTCTTTGTATCTCCTCATATACTATAGATAGATCCTTTTAACAAGTCGTCCAATCGAGTCGACGATGCTCATATTCCATCAAGCCAAAGTGACATAGGACGCGCTGTAGTTCCAGACAAAGTGTCCATCTTCCAAGTCCAGGTTCATCCTTGCCGTGGTTCCTCATATGTGCCGCGAAGCCGTTTATCCGCATCGTCGTTGTCGTTATGGTCATGGTTTTGTTTCTTTATCGCACCAGACGTGACGAGAGGAGGGTGCTCCAGGCACAAGGCTCCCTTCTAGGTTTCCAATCCGGGTACTAAACTGTGAAAAGTTTGGATGTCGTGGAATGCCCTGCCGCAACTCTGATTATTATTTCTTTCAAATTTTGCCAAATCAAAATGTTCATCCAGCGATTGTAATTCCACTAAACGTTCCTCTAAAGTTTTTGTTGAATCTGCGAATCTCGCAAAATCGCAGATTCTGTCTGGATCAACTACATCCGAGGCCTCCATCATGCCTACATCACTGGATCTAATAACGCTGGTTAGTTGACTGCTGGCGCCATCTAGCTCGGTAGAAAACATGATAGAATTACAACAACTATTTGTGGACGTGCTTGTACTGTTGCTGGTGGTCGTGTTCGCGGTACTGGTGCTAATGATCGTCGTTGTCGATCGGACGTCCACGGAACCTAAGCGATCCTCAGGATACACCAAGTGATGGTGATGAGGGGATTCAGGTTCCTGAATCTCGTCGATGTGTGAGAGTAATCGAGGAGTGGGAGGCAGAATATAGAAGTCGCTAAATACATCATCCTGTAGATCGAGATCGTCATGCCTTTGACGTTTAGGACTGATTCCGTCATTCCTCGTATCATCGCTTAATCTACGAAAATAATATATATATATATATATATTTATTTATTTATTTTTGATGAAGTTTTTGACGTTATTTGGATTATTTTGTTAAATTATGAATAAATTATGCGGGAATAGAAACAATTTTGTTCCCGAAGACATTACGCAATTTACATGCGACTTGCCACTAGTTGCGCAACTTATATATTATGTAAAATGAATCTCTAGACGGTGAACGAGATCTGCCATTCTTCTTTTGCTAAAACGCAGATGTTTGATTACGAGTTGAACATTTTGAACATTTTTCGACCCTTTCGATATTCAATTCTCGAAAAATGCGATTGTGTGTATAGGTTATGTACGAAAAAATATATGTAATTATAATTTAAATCAATTTAACAAAGATCATTAAAATTAAATGCGATTAAAAAATTGTGACACTTTCGCCTAAACATTTTTCCTTACCTTTTTCTTGAAGACGTTTCGTCGTCCGTTATTCCGACAATAAGGTTGCTAGAAACGTTATTCTCTTTGGTGGAGTCGTTTAGATATGTAACAACCGGAAGTCCGTAATTTCTCGTCTTTTCGTCTCGGTTCTCACGTTGCAGTCGCCTGACAGCATTATTTATAAGAACCGATCTGCATAGACTGGCCTCCGGGTCTTCGATTCTTCTCAACTTGCCGGCTGAAATCTTTAGCAGACGACGACGTTCTTCTCTCGCACGGTATTTCGCAGAAATCATCGTTGGTCTGCTCCTACGAATCACAAGATCTTCTTCCAATCTCATTTTAGCGTCTGAAACAGAGAATAGAAGAAAAAAATTATTATTTATTTTTGAAATTTTATATTACAAATATTTAATAAATTAAATTAAATTAAATTTTTCAATAAAGAGTGTAAAATATTTCATTTTAAAGAAATAAGCATGCGAATAAACATTCAAAAGATAGCAAAATCAATTTTTTTTCTAGAAGAAGAATAATGTTAAATGTTCTAGACAAGGAAAAGAAATGCAGACATAACGGTTTACCGAGAGACGGTAAAAAAGAAAACCATAGAGGTGGTCTAGCGGTACGCAAGTAGTACATATGTATTTACATGTTTACACAATGCATATTCCATACCAATAATTGGCCAAATTCTTTTAGTGTTCGTTTTCGCTATATAGTAATCTGATTGCATCGACTTTTATCATGTCACGAAGGAAGCACAACAACGAATTTCTATTCAAGAAATCCTTAATCGAGAAACAAAGTTCAAGGAGAGGAACAATTTCATATTTACAACAAGGTTATGTTTTATTTTGTTTGTCTTATTTAAAAAAATTTTTTAAGTGTTCGTTATCGAGGAAAGTATCATTTTAAAATGTCGGTTATCTTTTTTCAATTTATTTGTATCTCGAATTCATCGAAAGTGAGAACCATTGCGAACGAAATAAAAAACAAAGGTTAAAAATTCTTTTTCTTATTATATAACGCGAACATTAATTCAAATTCGTTCAAATACGATCACGTTTGGAAATAAATAATTTTCATTTGAAAAGATTCAATAATTTACTTATAATAATCTCATAATTAAATCAATTATGAAAATTTTATTTTCCTATTTGATGACTTTGAAGTATATTTAATCACGAATCTCGGATGTTCGACCTAACTATAGGAATTGACGAGAATAAGAATGCGTTTACTAAGTGATAATATATCCAACACAGAATAAGAGCAATATCTTTGTAATTCTATTACTTGTAATTGAAGCGACATTTATAATAAGAAATAAAAGTAGTCATTGGATCGTGATATCGATCGCAAAATTATTTGATACGAATATGTAATTTGCTCGCAAATTTCTCATCGATGATATTTTAATATACTTTATTCGAATTGCATGGTTGTCGTAAAAATGACACATATTAAACAGCAGTTTAAGCAAAGTTTTAATAAATCTTCGTGATCGTTGTTATATTTTTATAAGATAGTAACGTAAAAAAAAAAAAAAAAAAAAAAAAAAATAAGAGTAACTTAATCGCTTCGTAACATTTAAATCTATCCAATACATAATTGCGAAAAAGATTCAGTAAATTTATATGCATGTTTTCTTCAGAGTGTACTTAGTTGTCAGGTGTTCTAATGACATTTTGTTGATGAAAAGAATATCAGAAATAATTATTTATTTAATTATTTCGTATATCTAAATTTAAATTGAATTTGTATAAAAGTTCACAAGATGTCAACGATCCTATAAACTTCAAGCATGCGTAAGTGATTAAGAATGCGTAATATACTATTTATAGAGCGTATATTTTTTATATATATCAAAGTAAGAAGTTTCTTTAAACGCAAATAATTGGAATTTTTTGAATATGAATGAATTTTCAACATTTGAGTAAAAATAATATAAAGATTCAAGAAAATTTCATAATGTAATGTAGATGTAAATACTTAAGTATTTGATTTTTTAAAATTATTTTATATATTCTTTTCTATTTTAAAAATTGAAGTGATCAAAACAAAATATGAAAAAAATTGTAGATCAATTTTGCAATAATAAAATTAATAAAAAACATATAATTGATTTTAATTCCTTATTCATTGAAATAATATATACAATCATACAAAGATATTGTATATAAAAGAAATATAATTAAAATTACATTTTAAAACAGATGTACTTAATAATTAATACTAATGTATTTATTTCATTAATTAACGGTACTGGATACTGTACTTTTCTACAAAATATTTGTGATTTTCCACTTAATAATCTTTTTAATAGAACGATGAATCTGTTTTCAAATGATTTCCGCAACCGACTACTTGAATCATGCGTTCACAGAAATAATTCCGAAAATTACTTGTTCAACTAACCAATAGATGGCCCCTCTGACACTTTCGTGGATTAATAAGATGGCCGTTATATTGTCGACAGAGGAATTTCCAGAAGAATCTTGATCGTTGAAAAATTGTACATTTTGTATTGCGTGACACTTATTAATAACGATTTTGTTATTAATTATTATTACTAAACAATAATTAAAAAAACACTTATTATAACAAAATCAATTGAATTTTTTATTATTTACCTTATAAAATTAAAAAATTATTTTCACGATTTTTTACAATAAAAAAAATTCCTTGACGATTTCTAATAGCATAGATTTCTAATATGAATACGAGAATTAAATATAAGTAATATTTAATAATTACCTCGAGATTATTTAATTAAGTTTTTATAGAAAATGAAGAAGACTAATGGTATACAGAAACACGGTTTTACGCTCTAAGTGCACCTAAGCTAACTTTCTCTGTAAAGAAAAAAAAACCATCATGGATACACGTTACCTAACCTGTAAAGTCTGTTATAAAGTTGCTGACTCGTGTGCCTCATCCTCTCCCTTCTCTTACCTGTAAATTTACTTGCATGTATACATTCTTCTCCATTTTCTCGCATATCGTATCTTTTCCCCTTCCCTCCGCATTCTTTTCGATATAATTACTTAAAACAATGTAAATATCGATAAATCAAATTGAAAAAATAATAAAATTTTCTAATTATTACATCAAGTTAAAATATGTTTATCAAAATATAATATGAATCTGTAAAGATTCAAAGTATATGAGAAGATGTATGCAATTAAAATTCAATTCATTAATTTCTAATATCACATATTTCAAAATATTTAAAGAGCAAACATTAATTTCTAATTTCCTATTTTATTAGATATAGCCTAATCTTAACAAAAATCATTTCAAAAAGTAAACTATTTTAATGCTTTAATTTTCATCGGACTAATACAGTGTTTGGCAATTAAACGGAGCTTTGACCTCGACCGGAATTAGATCTATTTAAACGCATCGTTCTGAAACGCTGATATATTTAATCTTTTGAGAATCACTGCTCCCCCTCAATATATTATTTCAATTTTCTTTGACCTGCTTTTTATCCTATCTTTTTTTTATACAAATATAATAACTTTAAAAGAATTATCGTTTAACCGTTTCCGTAGTAACGGAATTTCTTCGATTGTTATCCAAGTTTTGAAGATAAAGACAAAGGACAAAAGTACAACATATAAACAGAGCAGAGGGAATATGAAGGGAACCTCCATATTGAACCGTTCAAAGTAGAAAGCGGTGTATAGGGACGGTCGGGTCAGACACTATTGCTGCCTATATCTATTCCCTGCAGAGGCCTTGAAAGGAATGCGGTTAAAAAGAAATCATCGAACATTTTTACACGCTTATAAATAAATGCGAACACTGACAACAAACAGTATACATCAATGTTTAATCATTTATCATTAAACATCATTGATGTACATTCATGATACTTATCATCCGCTTCGGCTCGTTTGCGTGAATTGTTAAGATTATCATCGCTCACTTTATTTTTTCCTCACAATGGGTCATCATAGTTTAAACGAGCACACGTGTGTCTGTTTTTTCCGTAAATAAAATAATTGCATATATACATAATTACAAATATATATATATGTATATATATATTTCCTTTTTTTCACTCCCATGAGATATGACGCAATTTTATTACACACAAAAATTAGTTTATAAATCATTTAATTAATAATCTTCTAAACTTTAGTTAGTTAATTTGTTCAATGGAATACGCTAAAAAATATATTTTATACGTATTTTATGTTTTTTTACATTTATAGATCGCTAACACATGAAATGTATTCGTTAAATGCTAATAAAGATTTAAAATTGGAACAAAACTTTGTTATAGATCGTTTTTATCATTTTCATACGCAAAATTCCATTTTATTGCTATATAAGAGTATAAAGTTACATGTTATTTTGAATGTTCATAATAAAACTGATAAACAAATAATTAATAATTTTACATAAAATTTTTTTAAACCATAATAGCGATATTTTCAATTTGCAGTAATAATAAATACACAAATCTTTATGTATCTATATCAAAAAGGAAAGTTTAATAATATTGTAAGTCTGTAGTTGGAACTCACTTTCGAACTGTATGCAAAACTGTAATGTCAGGCGTATTACACTTAGTACACTTTCCACATTCCTTTGTGTGACATGATTTTAAAAAAAGAAACAGAAAAATATAAACCACTAAAAGTGAATATATGCAAAAGAATATATATTTACAATCACTCGAAGATCACGAAAAAAATTTATTTCGTATAAAATTTTCGTTGTAAAAAATTGGAATAGTCGATAACGTGGAATATAAGTTTCACATGAGATTTAGTCGGTGTCCAAAACTGAACTGAGTGTCACGCAGCATATGTACGACGACGACAACCGACGACAACAAAAGTGTTATCGGGTGTCGCGTGACGTCACGATTGCCTGTGTAACTACATATAGTGTACGCATGCGTATACGTCGATCGACGAACGTTATGTATAGATAATATTACATATATTATATATCTACATATAATGTCATTTGTTTGCAATCAAAAACATTCAATTATAACGAGTTATAATTTTTTTCTTTCTTTTGTAAAATTATAAAATTATGGACAAAATATTTTTACATATTTAAAAATATTAAAAAATATATTTCTTCATTAAGTATTTCTTTTTTTAATTTTTAATTTTTTAATTATTTATGCTTTGAAGTAATATGATTATACACGTTAAAAATTAAATATTGCTTTTTATATATATATATCTCGATATAAAATTATTAACAATATTGTTCAATTTGTACATTTTGCTTTTATTCGAACGCATCGTGAGTATGTAATCAGAGATAGCGAACAGGTAGCAAGCATGTATGTACAAACACATACATTATACCCAC